CGTGCGCTGGAAAGTGGCTTTTGTGTCCATCAGTCCTCCCATCCGAGGAGGGAAACGCTAATCCTCCCTTTGTGGATTCCACAACGCTGTTCCGAACGTGTGAGATAAGGTGAGATGGCTGCTGGTCTGTCGGCGAGTGGTATTACAAAGAATGGTATCACCCTAGCAAAGCGCACATGAAGGATCCCTAGGATACTGAACCGAAATTTGGATTTCGCAAACTAAGGCCGCAGAAGCGTTGAACGAGACTCTACGAACTCCAAAACATCACTCATACATCGATATCTCAAATGGATGACCGTACTTTTGGAGAAGAAGGGCGCGATCAAGCGGGGGCTATGACGTGATTGTCCCCCTGGAAAATTTGAGAATGAGGGGAAGCCGGCTTCGCTTCTCTCCTCCACGGTTCACCAGCTCGGCGGGACGTAGCGAGGAGGAGGGAATGAGAATCGTGACGTGCCTTGTCTCGTCGGCTTCGTCGGCCGTGTTCAATCGCGCGCTTCTTTTCCGAAAATGCGGCGATCCGTTACAGATATCGGTGTATGAGTGATGTTTTGGGGTTTTGCAGCGTCCCGCCTATCCGTCCAGCCTTGTTCTGTGAACTCGAAATTTCGGTTCAGTATCCCTTTAACTTATCACTGACACCTGTCGTGTTAAAATTCCCAATGCTTGCGAAACCGCATGAGGAATGCGTAAAGCACAGCGCGCAAGAAACATGCTGCGCCTTACTCAAATGTATGACAAAATTAAAAAGAGAGAAAGAGAGGGGAGAGGGGCGGATAAGCAACACATAATTCCAGGCGATGGCGAGCTATCAATATATGTGAATGATTGGTTCAACTCCATGAGGAATCTTGTTCGGGGGTGAAATACAGTCGGGGACAACTGCATGAAATATAGCCATACAAAAGCCATAAAATTAAAATAAAAAACGCAATATTTTAGAAATGCGAACGGATTCAGGTACCCGTAGTTTCATTTTTGTGTCTGACGCGACGCGAAGTACGTTATCTGTACACGCCACGACCTCCGCCTACGCGCGATGAGGGATTCATTGAACACACGTATTTATTTATAAAAAGACCCGTCTGCCTCAACACAGAAAGGGAAGTCGTTGTACGATATGGGGTTAATATATATATATATATATATATATATATATATATATATATATATATATATATATGCGCATATATTAACCCTATCGTTGGGCGTCCATTAAACGATCTGCGAATTTTTACCCCCTCCGCACGCCGGTTCTGCAGGGCTCACTGATATATTGTGATAAAGTTGCCAGTGACGTATGTGCATCTCCAATAGAAAATACCGACACGCTCTATGTTTCTTTTCAAACACCTCCCTTATTTAGGATGCGACTCACATTCAGAGGCAGCTTGTGCCATGCACCTAAATGCTAATTCCGTAGACGCGTCTGTCTTTGAACAATGGCAGTAGATGCAACAATTTTTTCTTGTGCATATTTTTTTTTTGGAGGGGGGGGGGGGGGGGGGTTGCAAGGACATTTACGTTAATGCTGCGCTTGAACGTGCAACAGTGCGCGAACTGCTCTAAAAGTCAACAATTATTAAACTCTGCTGCCTCGCTCCTGTCACCAAAGAGACAATGAATATGCATGGTTACGCCAAAATGTACTAAAGTACTCCTTAAATTTTGAAATGCGATGAAAAGAACATGTTCCGACATGGTGTTTTGTTTTGCTTTGTGTTGTCAGATTTTAACAATGTGAAACTATTGTACGTAACCTTAGCCCCGAAGAATCTTTTTGTTAATTATTATTCTATATATTTCACGTGTCGCGTCGCCCACAAAAACGTACACCCGTGAGCGATATGAAGGTGAACAGCCCTCTTCTTGTTTTTGACGCTCCTGCAAGTTTCGGAACAAGCTTTGTTCCAGGAGAGGGCTCGAACGCAAAGTTTAGACCCCAAGCCACGTACCATTTGAGACGTTGAGAGTTAATATAGCTTTAGGAGGCCGTAAAACAGGCAGGAATCCAGGTAAGGTGTTCACCTTCATGTTGCCGGCGGGTGTACACCCTCTCGATGTGAGGGAATCCGCATGTTGTTCATACAACGCGCTTGACTTTAGATTTCGTTTGTTTGTTTGGGCTTTGTCTTGACGTCTAGATTCATGCCCACCAAAATAACCATTAATGCTGGATCGGAGTGAGGACGAACAAGTATGGAGGCAGTGTCCTCAGACCCACTGCAGCTGAATGTTTGTTACTGACTCCGCCTACAAATTGCATTTTCAGAAATATAATAGGGATATCATAGAATGCAGCTTACTCTAGCTCAAATGAGCATCCAGAAAGATTTTTTTTTTTTTAACACGTAGAATACATCGGTTTTTCCATGGACCGCAAAGGACGCTTTCAAGCCATCCCAGCCAATAAAGCGTCGATAGCAAATCTGGGGCCCTAAACTGGTCAAACACAAAGTTGGAGCAGGAAGTTCGCGGAGCCCGCCGATTGGACGTCGAAGTCATTGTCGTGATGGGCCAATCGGTGCACTCCGTGGCCCCAACTTTGGGTGTGAAGAGTTTAGCGGCCAAGGTGACCTTTCGGATGGGCACAGCAACGCATGGTGCACGAGGTCACGTGGCATATTCTCAGCGTCGGATTGGCTGGCATGGTTTGATAGGCTCCGTTGCTGTCCACCTTTCTTCGCTGGGTCGCTGACTGCCCGGGCAGAGGAGAACATTTTAAGCAGCTTTTATTTTATATTCGCCGTACGTTTCACAGAAGGGAAATATGGGATGGATAGCTCAAAATACCAGTAGAACGCAGTCACACACCATTAAAAAAAAAAAAAAAAAAAAAACGAAAACAAATTACGTGCATTAGTACAACTGGATAAGGTGAAAGTGTTCAGTGGCGTACCGACTTGTTTTTGAGTGGGGGAGGGCAGTGCCCTTGGTATCCCTTGGGCGCCGCCGGTCAATGTTTGCCCTGTCCAGTGGCGGCTGTTTCGGGGGGGGAAAGGCAAAGCCTTGCCCCCCCCCCCCCCCCCCCCCCGGTTGGTACGCCCATGAAAGTGTTTTCTCTTTCTTTCTAATAATTACAGGTGGATTAGGAAAAAACCTGGACAAACTTTAGAGCCTCCTAGCAAGAGTAATTTAGATATTTGTAAAACAATATTTGCATATGAAATTCAGCGCACTTTTTTGTATTATAATTTTGTTTCCTGATCTCTTTTAATTTTTATGGTTTTTAGAATGTCAAACAAACGTGCTGCTGTGTGGAGCTGTTTCGCCAAGGTCTTCGACCGCTCCAGAAGAGGAAGAAAGCGCACTGCCAACGCCTCCGCCAACCGTCAGATGATCAGGAAGCGAGTCAAGATAAATCAAATGGTCTCCACTCCACAAGAAAAATATCTCGTGAGATTGGAATCAAATGTGAATCGGTGCGACAAATGGCTAAAAAGGAGCTGAAACTCAAGCCCTACGAGCCTCAAAAAGTTCCACGGACGAAAACAATGAGTCCGGCTTCAAAGGTGCCGCCATTTTCAACGCCGGGCCGCAGGTACGCCCTGGGAACGCACCTTCTTACCAGACGAAAAGCTTTTTACGGATCTCAACTCGATAGATTACTGCGTGTGGGCAATTTTGGAGGCCAGGGCTTCTGCTAAGCGCCACAAAAGTTGGGAGTCGCCAAAGCTCGCTTCTCCGGGGTTGGGCCCGAATCGCTCCGGAGGAGAAGCTGCGGCCCATCGTCGAGAATTTCTGCATCGACGCTGAGGGCGGCTACTTAGAAAGCTGTTGAGAATGTGGCTACCGTATTATTGTTAGTCATTTATATTTTTTATTATTATTTCTTTGTTTAAATAAAAATATGATAAACAAATGTTTGTCCGGGTCCGGTATTGTAAACAAAGAAACAAACAAAAATTTCCTGTTTCGTTGCGAGTATTGCTTGACGACAGGAGTATATTGAAGTGTGTCTTAGACCCCCCATTTACGTTCAAATAGGGTACGCTTCGCCCTGTCCGCCATTGAAACATGACGTAGAATCTAGGCTAACGACTGAAACAAAGCGACCGGAGAGAATCTGTAAACAAAGTGGCGGAAGCTAAAGCGTGTCGCCGCTTGTGACGGGCATATCCGCTTTGGAGCCAAAAATTACCTGCAAAAGCTGCCGCGCTGACGCCTTTTCACGCGCTCATCCCACGATGAAAGAGAGGGACCTCTCGCTGTGTCCAGCTTATTCTGTGTTCATTTGGATGTACGCTTTCAGGGACAACCGGGTCGCACCCCTCCGTTTTTTTTTTATTTTTTTTTTATTTTTATTTATATCGCTGCTTTACCTTTTTCATTCTCGATATAGACTTTATTGGAATTCGTGCAAGCCGTCGAAGGTATAAAGAATCACAAAGTCATACAAGCTCGAACGGGAACGGATTTCCGTTTCCCCCGGCAACGAGTACTACGGATCTTTAAAACTGGAAGCACGACCTCAAAAGGAAACAAAACAGGTTGCAACCTCCCCCCTCCCCCCCCCCCCCCCTTTTTTTTTCTTCTTTCCGCCCCCAAACGCACACACACTAAAAAAAAAGAAAAAAGAAACAACGAAACATGAGGTTAATTCAAAACGAAAAGATGAAATCAAGTAATGTCATACTTCATACATTATTGCCTTAAAAAAAAAAAAAAAAAAAAAAAAAAAGGAATTAACACGACGGGCGTGTTAGTTAAAGCCTCCAAGTGTATCGTGTAACATTAAATACGCTCGCTCCCCCCGCTCGTATAATAAAATTAATTTCCATTCGTCTATTGTACCTTCGACAAACAATAGAAGAAAATATTAAGCGGCCCGCGGTTTAGCGATCGCGCTTTACCGCGTCGCGGTTAATCTTCCCGTTTCTTTTGTTTCCACGAAATCGCGACACCTCCCAGTCACGTGGGAAGCAGCGCAAGTTCCGCAGGTTCCGCGCCGAACTGATAAGACAGTGAATCACCGTTTTTCCTTTTTTTTTGCGTTTAGTATATTTGTCATATGACCGCAACGCGGACGTCACGGACGCACGAGCTGCGGATGAAAGTAGTGCGTGTTTTCCTGACCGTCAATTCCAAGCTTACACACATGAGAGAGAAATAGTACGACGAAATGAATATACAAACGCAAGTTTAATACGAAATTGTCGCCCTTATACTGTATTCGGCCGTGTTTGCGGCTCTGAAGCGATCGATTCACTCGCCCTATTTCTCCGCCTTCACTATCGCGGATGAATACAAGGTTGGAGAGACGCGCAGCTCCGACATTTAACGCTCCGTCCGCAGTGTACTGAGCTGCGTTAAATCTTTTCTCGTTTTATTTTATTTCCCCTCGTTCGACTACGTCTAATTCTGTTCGCCATGGTCCGGTCGTCGAAAATGGGTTTCGTCAAGTATCTTCTGTTCGCCTTTAACGCGATCTTTGTCGTAAGTACCCTTCGTTACCCATCTGCCGCTTTTACCATATTTACGGCTCAGTCGGGATATTCCGTGAAGTATTAGATGGCACGATTTCGAAGGTGCGTTTGCAGCTGTTGTTGACAGCGCTTTGAAGCAAGGGCCTTTAGTCTACCTTCTGCAGTATTTATTGCCCGAACGGTGCGGTTGAATGGTCATTCTACATCTGATTCGACTGTCGAAATTCGGTACGCCGACGTTACTCTAGATGCGCACCGTTCATGTTGCGTCTAGGAGTTTTCGGTCACATCAATTATGAATATAACATCGAATCTTTTTTTATTAGTGCAAATCCGCGAGTTTGCCGTTCGCGCTAAATGCGATCGTTTTTCTACCCTTAGGTTAAATCACGTAGTCGAATTCCACGTCTGGTGCGGGAAGGCCGCCGATAGTTTATTTTTTTTTATAGCCCGAGCGTACGTCGATACGAATCACGGGCTTGTTGGTTCATTTAGTAGTCCCTAAAGATGGACCGAATCGAATCTTCTGTTCCGCGTGTTAAATCGCGAAGCCGCACCAACGACGCCATTGGAGGGGCGTATTTGTCTCTCCGTCGCGGTGCCGGCACATGCTGCAATACCTGTGAAATGTCGGCTGTCGCTTGTTGCTTTCGCATCATCTGTCGTTTGCTTTGGCATCTAATTTTACGGCGGGGCATATTCGTATAACGCAGTTTTGTAAAATGTTACTTTTTTTTTTCTTTGTTTAACTGTTGGTTTTGGGCAATATTTTCCTCGAAATCAAGGAGCACCGAGAAGCCCGAAACCTCCAGCCTGCTGTGAATAGAGCCTCTCTCTCCGGCACCTCTGTAGAGCTACATTTGAAACTGAGTTGCAATTTTGCATGCACGCAGGCATTCTGCGCCAGTATGTGTGCAAGTTTTATGTAGCCCAGTGGGCGTAGTAGTGATTTTAAGCCGTCTTTTCGACATGAGCATATGAAATTGAAAGTTTTACTAAATGCCCATTTTCTTGTGCTCCCACTCTTGGTGTAAAGTGGTTGTTAGATACCACTTTAAAACCATTCAGCTGTCTAGACTTATATTCCTTGCCTGATTTCCTTTAATTAAACAGTGATTGCAATATGAAGTTCCATCTGAAATGGTTGATTTGCACATTGTTTAATTTCTAAGGTTGTTAATTTGCTTGTGAATCCTTAATTGCGACTTTTTTCTTCATGGTAAGTATAGCAAGCTGTGCAACTTTTGTCACTACCACTATCAAGTTTTGTCACTACCACTATTTCTTGAAAAATATTATGGATGAGGTGTTGGTAATAGCTGTGCAAGTGTTGTCAAGCGACAAATCACTCTTCAAGATTGAGAATCCTTCCAAGGTTTTGAAACAATGCAGCTGTAGTATATGCCTGCCAGCGTCTGACAATTCTCGACAGCTGCATTTTTCAAATCCTGGCAAACCGTCAATGTCAATTGCCTTCAGCAATGTTTCAACTGTTTTACAAGTGAAAACAATAAAACAGAAAGGCAGTTTTGAAGCAGATCCTGTTGTGCTATACTCGGATTAATTGTGACCAGAAATGCTTGCTTATATTCTACTGACATGTTTTTCAGTGTTCTGCATTTGTTCAGTAATCTTTTTAATAACTCCATTTAGCTTGCCATGGACAAACTATTTAATGTTAGTTTCAAAAAGCCAGAACAGGAAAATTGGCTCGGATCCTGTAATTATGCTAGTGCTCATGGTGGCAGGTTTTATTGCCCGGATCTTTTTTTTTTTTTTTTTTATATATATCAAATGACAATTTATCAAGGCACTGTAGAGTGCAGGGGAGCAAAAACTCTTGTTTGAACTACTTTATTTGGTTGTAGAGGTCTCAAAGATATAGCCCTTATCTGCTGAGGTGCTTTTGCCGATTTAATAAAGTGCCCAGTAAAGCTTTACACATGTTCATAGGCGTGCGCACAGGGGGGGCAGGGGGTGCGGCCGCCCCCTCTAATCATCTAAGGGGGGGGCGCAAAGTTGGCCCTTCTGCGCTGAAGCTTTGAACAAACCGTAGCGCCCTCATTTTGGGTAGTACAAGCTCACCTGATTGAGCATAGCACTACTTATGGCACGTTGGTCGAGCTTTTTCCATTCTATGTGGTGCTAAAGAACGAAAAAAACACCTTTGGACGCCAGAAATCGGCCAAACTCAACGTTGCAAGAGAATTGAAAATTGAGAATTTTCGCCAAAACTGGAGATTGATGCTAGCGAACGCACACTGGGACTCCATTTCTCATGTATTTTGTCAATAAAGCCAACATGGGCGTTATTTTGGTTACATGCCACTACTAGAAGCTCGTTACATGGCACGTAAACAGCGTCTCGGTAAGGATCATGGCCCGGGCCCGGGGGGGCTCTGCCCCCCCCGGATCTCACTGGTGGGGGGGGAAGAGCACGAGCCCCGTTGCCCTCCCGAAGTTTACGCCTATATGTCTGAGTATTTTTTGGAAGTGCCTGAAGTTTGAGCCTTGTAAAAATAAGTACACAATTTTGCAAAAATTCTGGTTTCATTTGGGTACCCCCTCGTATGTATTCATCCACCTTAGTTTTAAAATACTTACTGTTAACATTTATCCCTGTGTATAAATGCTTGCCTAGGTTTGTTTATTTTTTCTCGATCATAGTTTTCCCGGCCCTCTAAGCTCTGACAGATCTGTAATCCAGCCCCATAGCCAAAAAGTTGGAAAACCCCTGGATGGTTGCCTGGCACTGTAGTTCAGTCCAGAGGCTTCCATGTTCTATTTTATTACAACCTTTTATTTATTGCATTCTGCTAATTGCAGCTTTACTTTGTTTGGGTAGAGTCTCGTTTATCGTCCAAATAACCACATGCTCTATTTCCTTGCTCTTAGGAGCATGTTTAGTAAGAACCGTTTTTCAACTCTTGAAAAAAAAAAAAAAAAAAAAAAGCAAATTTTTTTTTTTTTTTTTTTTTTTTTTTTAAGACAACATGCTGGCTTGTTTCTTAATTGGAGAGGTTGAAATTTTGTCCAAGTTAGAAAAAGTAAGGCATTCAACCTCCTCATAAAATAAGTGCCTCAATATTACTAATAATTATATTACGTCTCATTACATGAAAATCCATAGTGCTTTGTAACTAGCCAGAGTTTCATGGCACTGTTGTGTGGCAGCGATTATAGTGAAAGTCTCGTGTGCTCCCACTGCAGACCCTCAGCATTCTCGCGCAACATTTGATTGTTGGTTCTAATGTGCATCTCTTTCATTAGCTTTGCGGCATAGCCCTGATCGCTGTGGGCGGAGTGGTGCTGGCGGCACTGAACCCACAGAAGTCCTTCTATGAGGGCTACCTTGGTGCTCCCGTGGCCATCATCATCTTGGGTGTGTTCGTCTTCGTGCTGGCATTCCTGGGATGTTGCGGTGCCATTCGGGAGAGCTACCACATGATCATGGCGGTATGTTTGCACAGCTTTTTTCTTGGTAGAGTTCCTTCCAGCAGCGGCCTACTAAGGTCACCGCTCTTAACAAAAATGGCTGCCGGGAATAGAATGTGTTGTGCCAGCCCAGCAGGGTCTGCGCTCGTTTTATCGAACATTCTTGGTTTCCAAAATGAAGTGTCGGTTCAATGTCCTAGCCTTTTTGTTACAAGTGTTTCGAAAGGTACCATGAAACTGTTTTTACTTTGCCAATCTAGTGCTCAGAATAAACACTAAGCACACTCATGGAGCGAGGAGTAGGAATCAGTTTTAGTCCACATGCGCCGAGGTTCACAAAAAGGTACATTTTTCCCACCCCCGATTATACTCCGTTTCAGTGTAACTTGCAAACTAGCCCAAGAGTAATTTTTTTTTATTACTTGGAAAGTGGCTAAAGCTATGATCCCAGGAAACCAGTAAAAGCATCGCAGCAAAGTGTTTGCTGGTGCCCCACCGAAATTCCCTTTGGTGGTGCATTGTCGCGTGCCTTGCTCCTATGCTTTTATTGTCTCTGTGGGCTCTTATCTCCTGCACTTTGCTAAGTCAGGGTGAAAAGGAGTATTCGCAGCTCCAGCGCGCCGCTCGCCCTCCCGCGGACGAGCGCAGGACTAGAGGAACGGGGACGGCAGCGGCGGCGGCGTGGAAAAGGTGGCAGGGGCTGTCGGCCTTGATGCGGGAAGCCGTTGTAACAAAAAAAAGTGAGCGCATTAAAATAGGAATTCTTGTGTTCCACCTCGCAACAGCATTGCACGAAGGACCAGGATGTCTAATTCCATTAGGGACTTTACGTATCTCGCATACGCTGTGGATTGCTGGTCTTGTGCATGACTGCCAGCTCGATCTGTGCTCAACGTGACGGAAAACGCTCCCGCTAATAATGTAGAGCTCTATCGTTCGGTCTATGAAAAGTCTATTGTTGGCCCCAAGTAGGAGAAAACTGGTCGCGCAACGATATGTAGAGTGATACACTTCGGTAATGGGTTTGCGTTTTAAGGCCATAGGAACATGATAATTTATTCCAAGCACTTTTAAAATATAGAATATGCATACTTGATTTCAGGTAATTGCAAAATAAATGAAGAAATTCCCCAAGCATTTTAAGTGCGTCTGTGTTAGTCAGCCGTTCGTGACAAGAGCTTAGAACAGGCAGTTTTGGGCGAGATGGGCCACAACATTGCAAATACCACGGTACAAAAAAAAAAAAAAAAGAATATGGTATATTACAATATGCTTTTTTGGTAGAGCAATAAATAAAACCCCTAAACACGCCGATTCTGGTAATAGACAGTTTTAGCATAGCGTTACCGCAGGCTACCATTGGCTACCGTGAGCAAGGTAATGCACCTGGCACGCACTGAAAATTATGCTTCAAAGGCGCTGCACGAGCCTCCGGTTGTATTGGTGCACTGCACGGTAGCTTGCGGTAACAATCTTCCTATCAATAACCATAGAGCAGTTTGATCACGTGTTGCAATACACTAAAACCGAGACGGTGAGTCGCGAGTGGCGAGCCTGTGACACGAAGGTATCAAGACTGTGAACGCTGCTCTTCCGAAGCTTGACGGTCACCGTGCGCGGCTCACTTTTTAGAGCACTAATGGCCAGGCAAGGTGCAAACACGATATCTTCATCACCCTAAAAAATATTCTGCCACAAAGAGTGACGTGGCCGGCGCGTAAAATGCGCTCGCCCACCACAAAGCTTTGCAAGTCGAGGTTTCTGCAACATTTAAATATCAGCATGCTCATTTTGCTAACGCGCGTCAACATCTCCGTCACCTGTAATATGATTCTGCCCCCCTAACCGCTTAGCGTTTGCAGACAAATAAATCATTGTTAGCGCACTGACCAGGTCAGCACTCTAAACCGCGCTGACGCTGGCGAAAACCCTGGAGAATCTATCCCCGTCTCTTCCGCCATTTTGGAACTACCACCCCGCCACCTATAGGGCGTTGGAGTTGCGAATAGACAGCCCCACCCCTTAATAAAATGATGCAAAGATTAGCTGTTTGATATGAATGACCTGCTTAGTCGGGCTTGCCGAGGGTTGAACACAAGCTTCAGGAGTATAAAGGCAGAAAAAAAAGCCAGTAGCTACTTCGAAGCAATCCATGTCCAAGGGTCACCTAGTGTTGTCGTGATGAGATTACCTTGCGGGGGTGGGCGGGAGGGAGGGAGGGAGGGAGGGAGGGAGGGAGGGAGGGAGGGAGGAGGGAGGGAGGGAGGGAGGGAGGGAGGTAGGTAGGTTGCTTGCTGACTGGGAAGTACAGTCATCTTTTCTTGATTTACTTGATAATACACCAAAAGTTATCCCACTCCACATATTCACCCGATTTGCTCTTGATGTTAGGTGGGCTATCTCTCGGGATTTTACAGTAGTCATGTCTCTTTTTATGTGGAGAATCGGTACACTTGTATGTGTATTTCAGATTCAATGTTTGATATGTTATTTCAAGATGAACAATTTTCAAATGCAGTATGCATAAATTTTTTTCTCCGAGAACCAAATCCCGTAAGACCTACATCACACAGCACATGCTCAGAGCTTCTTGAGGAGACAATTAAAGCAGCATCACCTTAAAGAGCACTAGTAGGAGGAATCTGGGCTGCTTCACAGGCCACTTGAAATTCTGATGTGCCACCGTCTCTCATTTCTTGTGAGGTGTTATTCAGAAGGGTAGCAGTGAGCGAAGAAATAAATTTAGCACATCAGAAGCCTATTCAGTCATTGCTGCTTCTAAGAACACACTGGAAAAATACACAGCAGCCTCTGTTGACCTTCGTACAATTTAATGAACCCACCTGCAGGAGCTAACAGGACATGACAGAACCACATAGAAGAGTGAAAAGACAAGACAGTGCAGATTGCAGACTGAGCCACAATAGTTCTGCAGAAATGCAGTACTCGTTTTTTATAAAACAGTGTGGATGGCACTTTAAGAGAAAACAGAGCTGGAAAGGGTTGTTTTGTGAACTTCTCATCTGTGGTGGGCTTTCACAATTTTATGTTGGTGACTGCCAAATCATGATGGCAAGTGAAGCAAAGTGAAAAAGAATTCTGCAATGTACTTCAATGCTTATCGGCATGGTTGAAAAACTGAATTGTAATTCCATTGATTCCCAAAAAAGATAAAAGCTTTTGGAAACCTGCTTATGACAACACATCAATGTAGGATTTTGATAATTAATCAGAAACAAGCAAGTTTAAAGGGACATGCTTGTAAGCTTGTCTGCTCATAACACCTTCGAGACAACTACTTCGTACCTAGTACCAGATTTCTCTATAATGCTGTGGTAGAGCTGACTAGAAAAATTCAGGGTAGTTAAAAGCTAGAAATACCACCGAAGTCCCAGTCAAGCAAGGGTTTGATAGGTGGGAATTTCCAGGGTTTGGTTACAATCTGGTAGTAGGCAGAAAACAAGCCAATTGTTTTGTTGGCTAATTTGCTCAGTTGCCTCTCCCCAAAAAGTCCCTTGAGTGTACCACCACAGTTGGGAGGATTTCACCAATATCTCATTTGGGAAATGCCCCTCTGAGCAGACTTGTAGTGCCCTGCCAGCCGCAAATGTTTATCAAGGACAAGTCTCCATCATTACAAGGCTTGAGGAGTGATCCTGCAAAGCAGAGATTCCGCAAAAACAGAATCACTTGAGCTTCCGAAAATTGCATGCTGCCCCAGATTGCAGTAGCAGTGCTGGCATCTGTTTACATTTGTTTTTCAATGTCTAGCCACGAAAGAACACTTGCTGGTGAAGCAGTCAATATCATTCTCGGAGTTAAAAGCCAAGCTCGAAAGAGCGAGGGTCTGCACGAATCCAGTATGTCCGGAGAGACAAGTCCATTGCCTCGGTCTGAGGGCATTCCTCTCTATACTAGCACCATGTGGCCGACTTGTGCTAACTTTTCAGCTATGGAACACCTCAATTCTACAGTATACTTGCAACACAATCGTGGGCGAAGTCAAGCTCTACAAATATATGATACTGCTTTAGAGAAACACTATGATAACCAAAATGTGTCCAATATTGGTGGAATCGCTATTAAAACTGGCGTTATAATGCGATCATCAGCTGCTTATATTGCAGCCATATATATATATATATATATATAAATAAAATCATAAGTGGCTGTGTATTCATGACCTTCATATTTCTGAAACTTGTAAATGATACTTTGTGGAATCCATGATAACTCGATTTGGCAATTGGAGCTGAACTGTCCAATGAGCACGTCCACGCCTGACATATCTGAAAAATTGTAACAGATGAAGTGTCAACACAATATAAGTAGTTTGCAGTAGTTTTCATGCAAAATGTTGCACACTTCAAGTTACTGCTCGAGGGCATAACAAACCCTGTTGTCTCTCTTGTTCTTCCACAACAGTTCAGCATCCTGCTGACCGTCGTCTTGATCTGTGAGCTCGGAGCAGCTATTGCAGCGTATGTCTATCGATCAAAGGTAATTTGTTTTTCTTTTTTTTCGTGGTATTTGTTTACATCGCTTGAATAGCAGTATTTAGTAACATGTAAGTTTTATCCAATTGTCAATATTTGAATGACATTTCTTTGCATCTATTCATGAGTGGCAGTCCCCTATGAAGCATATCTTTCAACTATGCACTTTGCATCTACAAAGCTTTCTTAAAGCTGATGACCAAGCAGAAATAAACTGCCTCTTGCTTAATAGTACCTCCTAGATAGGGAAGCAGTAATGCTGAATTTTTGGTATCTAAAATGGTTAGGCTATGAGCACAAATGTCACGGATATGGGCGGCAGAAGCTGAAATTATCCAGAAAATAAATTATAGAGCAGCCCCCACCTGCGTGCAATGGCAGAGTGTTTTTTGGCTCTAGTGGAGCGATCTTGGCCAGCTGATCATCATCTCGAACTTGTGCCAACTGTATCTGTGATTTTTGCATCTAGGAAGACACGGAGAAAACACTGCGATGTTCAAGTTAGTTAAGGACGGTGAACGCAGTGCAACCGAGCACTGAGGAATATCCCAAATTCAGACTTTGCGAGGTGCTTCCATCGCTGGCAAAAAGGAAGTAACTTAGCTTGAGGGTGTTTGTCAGTCTGTTGGTATGTTATGTTTAATATAGCAGTCTGGGTACACTTTAAAGGGCCCCCATGTTAACAAAATGTTTTTTTTGTGTTAGTTGTAGCGTCGTTGCCCCCTATTTCTTTTGCCATACTCATTATACTTCCGATTTTCTGCTAAGGCTTTATGCACCATATTTATTATTTGCCCGTTTATTCTCAATATTTTGGATATTCTGGGGCTCAGGATTAAAGGGTGTCTCATTCTTTTTCTACCATTTTTGCTATTAAGTACAGAGAAGGAACTTGCATGAACCACATTTTTATTGTTGGTAGTATTATTGTTGACGTTTGTCAGTTCTATTCATCTTCGTTTTGCAAGTTTGTGTTGCAACATACATCATTGAAAGAGGAACAGTGACATAATGTCAATTGTTTCTCCTTCGATGGATGAAACTTTGGACTTGAATTGTAAGGTCAAATTTGTGCATTTTAACTTTTGAACCTAGGTCTGAAAAATATTTTTTGGCACGCCGACCATGCCAGTTTTCCGATTCTCTCTTCGTGACGACTTCACTTCTGCAGTGTTGTAATCATGGGGAAAATCACTGAAAAGGCTCATACGTTACTCATTATGAAAAAAAATTTACTGCTATTGTCGGTGACAAAGTGAGAACGGCAGGGAGGAGGTTCAGTTGTTCCAGCGCCAGTTTCGTACCTTTGACGACGCTTGGCGTTTCGTGCACCTCGGGCGTGCGGCCAAAGCGCACTGGAAGGCGTGGGCACGTCCGGAGTGTCAGACATTCAAAAGTCCTTCATTGCCATTCTCGCTCTGCCAGTGACTATTGCGTAAATGAAGAAATTCCCACCGCGAGTGTGAGTTGTCTATATACAGGGTGTTTTGTTTTTTTTTAAACTTGACAGATTTGTTTAAAAAAAAGCCATGAAAGTTGTTTATGCGGTTTGTGCAAGTGAGTTATATGGCCAGGGGGACATAGTATAGGGGGCTAATTGTAACAATCAGTTGGCTAATTAAAATTCGTTAACTGTTTTATTAATGAAGAGACCTATGGTTCCATTTAGAAACTTGCTCAGGGTCATTGAAAACCACTAAATCAAATCTTTTTAGTAAGACACAGCGCAGGGGAAGCATTTTATGGCGTTCTGTAGAAACTCTTCATTTGGACGCGTGTCTAGGTTTTAGTTTCTTAACGTAGCACATCTCTGATTCCGTGGTCCTGCTCCCCAGTGGCTGAGAAGCGCAACGCACGTATGCCCTACTTCCCCCGATCCTACGAGGCAGTCGAGGGGGTGGCTTCGTGCCACGACCACCAGGGAGCGGGGCCATGGCTGCAAAAATGCGCTTCGATAAGGAACCAAAACCTAGAAATGCGTCCAAAGTGGGTGGTTTTTCAGACCGCCGTAAAATTCTGCCCCTGTCCTGTATTTTTATAAAAAGAGTTGATTTAGTGATTTTCGATGACGCTCGGCAAGTTTCTAATTGGAACCATATGTCTATTTTCAATAATTAAAAAGTTAATTAATGAATTTTAATTAATTAGCCAACTGATTGTTACGATTAGTCCCCTATACTATGTCCCCCTGTGTGTGTCACTAATCAGGATCCAATCGAGAAGCTGTGAAATAAATATTGAGTTAGTAGATCCCAGCTTTTGAACGCATTTTACTATTTTTCTGACTTGACGTTGTGGTTGTTACTGGTATTGACCTCAACAGCATTGCCAATGTTGTAATTATTTAGTTTATAAAAAATATTTTGTAGATTGAATCTGCCCTGAGGACTGCTGCCACCAACTCCGTTGACAAATATTTTAACGACACTGAAGTGGAGAAACTCTGGGATGACATTCAGAGCAATGTAGGTATCCTTTTTATTCTGGGACAACTCTTCTTTTAAAAATACTTTTTTTTCTTTAAGTTGTAGTTAGGTTATTGGTAGAGCTTTGTGGATTAGAGTGCCATGTTAATGATACAGACCCCACATGCTTAGTGCCATTGTTTGCTGATCTTGTTCTCGGTGTTCTTTATTTTTCCTTAGCTTTTTTTTTTTTTTTTTTTTTTTTTTTTAGAGATAACATGCTGAAGTTATTCTTTCAGCTCATGTGAAGTCCTTTAATGACAGGAATGCAAATATTTGTTCAATTTAATTTTGAGACCAGCCTGGTCTCAAAACCTGGCAAATAGCAAGCACTCTAGTGTACTCGCCGGGCGGACTCCTGTACCTCTCAAGAGATGCAAGCGATCTCTCCGTGTGCCGCTTGTAGATCTGGATCTGATGGAGTGCTCGCCGAGCGGCTCTAACCGGTCCGTGGGAAAGTGGTGGAGTGCGTCGAGCGATCCGAAGAAATTCTCTGCACGGCCTTTTTCGGAGGAGTTTGATACATGGTCATTTGGAGCATTTCAGTTTCGATATTTGCATTGGCGATGTTGTGGTAGCCACGAAAGCAATTGCGACAGTAGCACTTGTCGTTATAAAGTTATGGGAATATCAGAGGGATGCGGTGCTGTTACAAGCCCCGTTACAATCTCTTCGAGGGTCGGCAAAGCGATACGACACGGGGCCTAGGGGTCGACATTTCCGACAAACAGCAGGAGTTGCTAGATGCGTAAAGTCACTCTTACTTGGCTATGAACAGAGAGAAATTTTCTATTGGAAAGCTTGCCTCAAGGTTGTAGTTTATTAGCATGTTTATGAGTTTGCTGACATGGTTCCCCCTGAGGCACTGAATTTGTATAGGTCAGGGGAGGTAAGCCTGGCTTGTGAGCTGTAGGTTGCTTTTTAGCAACTAAAATGCCTCTTCTGATGCTTGCCTAAAATCGGAAGAAAGCAGACAATACTGTCGAGATTGGTTATAACGAAGTCGGTTATAACGAAATAGTGGCTGCAGCGAAGCGACCACGATTTCCCATTCCCTTTTGCACTTCGTTAGCCGAAGTCTGTTACAACGAAATAGCGGATCTAGTGAAGTGATTTCCAATTCTCTTTGACTTCGTGATAATCGGTCTCGACAGTATGGCAAAGAGCTTTCTGAAATTTCATTTTTTGTACTATCCAGTATACAGAATTGTGGCCACAGATAAGCCATAATGTGAAGTTGGGTTTTAAAAACTAATGAAGTTAATGGTGTAAAATTTGGAATCAATAGATTCCAGTACTTCACACTACAAAAGAATTGCAAAAAACAGTGCAGGTGATGTGAGCAGTAATGTCCTGCCCAGAATATCGCTTGTGCACTTCATTGTACGTGTCAAATGCAGTGTCGTCAAAGGTGTGGGCACGAGCCTAGCTTTTCAAAACTATTCATCTGCATTCACATGAGCAAATCATTTGTGAAGTTCACCCGCTATTGTCTTCACCCCTCACAACTTTGTATCAAACTCCTGAGATGAAACATGCTTTTTGATAGCCGTTGCATATCGAGAAAAAATTGGGTTGTTTTTTACATTGTATTACTCACATGTTGCAGAATGCAGGATCTCCACCTGCGTGTTCGGTTCAGAGCTTTACACAAATAAAAAATTGGTGTGACCCGAGCAAAATTGAGCGAGAGTGCACGACAAGACAGTGGCGCAACGAGAGTGCACGATAAGGCAATGGCCACGGGATGGTGCAAACGCTGTGGGTGCATTAGAAGAGGGGGCGGGTAGCGCTTCACTATATGAAGTAATGCGGATGCTGTTGTTGGTGGCATTACCAACAGCTGCCAAGGCGGAGGGGTGGCGTGCTCCCTTCTCGCACGGTCCCAATATATAATCCTATGGAGCTCTCAAATAGTCGAAATAGCATCTGATACTGATCAAGGACGTCAATCTCTCGCTAAAAAGTATCCTTGTCTCCAGCTTTTCCCCTTTCACTCTGCTGACATTGCCTCTAAGTAAAGTTCTGGCTTTGTAAAAGTTGTAGTTCATGTGATCCAAGACAGAGCCGTACATGTAGAGAGTTTGGCCATTCGTTGGGAAGTATAGGAGACAAATGAGGAGGCGCCATTGGCCGAAAAGGGGCTGGGCGTGTTCCAGGGCATCTTCAGAAATTCGAATGTGACCAACCAGAAGCTGCAAATAATACCCTGGCAGTGATCGTGAGAAACAAACCTGATAACTGCACCGGAGTAACTCTCGGTGACTGAAAATATGGTACACGTGATGTTTCAATCACTCATCTAAAATGATGGTGGAAAAGTGCGACTAGCGGAACGATCGACATAATCCTTATGCCGAGGGCCGGGAATCTGCCGTCCGAGCGGTCACACTCTGTCCGAGCAAATTAGAGTTGAGCGGTGTATTCGTTTCTTACATCTCTCTGCACGAGCATGATCAAAACAATACGTGCATCCCATTTTTAACCACAAAGAGTTACTACACTTCACTGTTACGTGCTCATTAACACCGTATACAAACATATACCTTTGATCAGAACTGTTTCTCGCTACCACTGCTAGGGGATTCATTTCGGTTTCTGGTTGGTCAAGAGAGAATGCCAAGCCCTCTTTCCGAGTCTGGCGCGCATGCCCTGGCTCTGCCCGCGCCTCCCAATGACCAAACTCTCTATACACGGCTTTGATCCAAGAGACCCCCTCTATTTCTTTACCATACCAGGGACTGCTGGCTAGCAAAGGTTTGGGCTATTAAAAAGGGTATACATACTACATATTTCTATAAGCATGTAACCTAATTTTCGTGTGCATATTTTCAGCTGCACTGCTGTGGTGCCAACAGCACTGACGACTTCCGCGGGAAGATTCCGAGCTCTTGCTGTGAAAACAAGCCTACTACATGCGATGCTGCCCATGCTTACAAAATCGTAAGTTGTCAGTTCACCTGATTAGTTCCTTTGTTCCTAGAAAAAAGCGCTATGATATTTTTTCAAGTGAATTGGTAGTTCACCCTTGTGTATTTTTGGTTAGGGAAACAATGCTGATATCAAGGGTACTGAGATGTGAACATTGCAGAACAATGTATTAGATTGAAGCAGCTGCGTCAATATTTTTAGAATGCCAAAATGCAGGTCACGGTGCCTTATTAATCGGTTCCACAGGGAAGCTTATTGTATACAGGGACTGTTTGAATGTTGAGCATCGAAATAACTGAAGTGTTATTTTAGTGTCCACTATGTCACTGCTGGAAGGCGTGAGAATAACTTTCTTATTTTGATGGTTCGCATCGAAATAGCCGTTTTGTTGTATTCACATGCCCCGTTGCTTAGTGCTTAGACAGTAAATATGCTCCTACTTCATCTTCATATTATTACTCCGTAATAGGAATGTGTTGTCGGCAGACCTTCGAGAGTTCAGACTTTTTTAATAGAAAAATTCTTTTCAAGTTTTCTGGCATGCTCGTCGGGGAATGAATAGAATGAATATTAGTTATGTTGAACATATTGCTAGGGGTGCACAACTCAAAAATGATGTGGGCCAAAAAATTGTATTGGGAACTGCGCGGGTTTTCAATATCTGGCAGTTAGTTTTCAGTATCTGGCATCATCGCACTGGTTGCCGTGTGAGCATATCTTGTAGTGTCAAGTCCATGGGCCGCACAAAAAGTGCATGCGGCCTGCGGGCTGCATGTCGTGCACTTGGACTTTGTCTGGTTGCACTCGAGGTGAGGTGTGGTAAAGAGATGATTGTTTCTCCCTTGCGAGTAATTTTGCTTTGTGAAAATATGAGCAGCATTTATTTCTGGATTGTGTTGGGTGGTAGGGGGGCACAACTAAACATTAGGGAGACAATAACGATTGCGTTCTGGTTTGCCCTGGCAGGCAATATTATATTTTGCTGGCGATTCCATGTCTATCAAATGAAAATAGAGTGGAGACTGAACACCTGTCAAAATCGGGTACAGTTGAATCCCGCTACACTTAAATTGACTGGATATGCAAAAGTTTGTTGTCGCAGTGTTGCGAAATCGGCAAGCAGCAATGAGATATAGTTGTGGTTGCACATAAATAAGCTTTAATTCCAGAAATTGGTCAGTCGACTCTTAGTGTTATTTTCTTCAGAACAATCGCATCTTTGTTGGCGTCAGTGCTGACAAAGACGTGCCGAAATCGTCTTCCCTTTTTTTCACTTGCCACCTTGGCGATTACTTATGTTTTCTCTGAAAGAAAGAAAGAGTCTCTGCTTACACAGGGATGCGATGCTGTTGCATTTGCTAGCGTTTGCTGTTGCAAATAATCTGTTTCTGTTGCAAACTACACCAAATCATCATGCAAAATCACATGCGGACTGGTACCGACAGAGAACCATACATTCCCAACATATATGGGCTTAGCTCGAGTCCAAAACTAATGCAAACCGGGGTTCTTTACATTCCTCGCCTTTGGAGCTCCTGCAGAGGGTCTCCGCTGCATAATCATCACCATCACACAGTTTTCAGCCTCCAAGCAGTAGCTTTACGTAGCACTTGTGCTTTCTTTGGCCATTTGGCAAGATTGCGAGCTGTGATATGAGGCAGAAAGATTATTTTATATTTCTTCAGTTCATAAATCAGACCATAGTTTAGTTTTTCTTGGTGAAAACTTAGTTAAAGTGGTGTTTGAAAAGTTGTTCGTTGTGGAGAAATATTTTGTACACCATCTCTTACGAACAACAAACAAAGAATTTAAAATCCTTCCTTGTTGCGAAAATTTTGGTCAAGTTGCGTTCGCTCTAGCAGGATTCAACTGTATTTGGCTGCTTTGTTGGGGTACGTGAAAATTGTGAAACGGTTATTTCATCAAGGGAAGTTAAACTAAGGAAACTGCTTTTTCGACGGGGTGTTGGGAGGTTTGAAACTAGCCAAAACAGATGTTTTCATGTCTCCTGTAAGTGGTATCACAGACATGAAAATCGACGGTCTCGGTTTTTTTATGACGGACGTCGAAAGAATCGCTGCCTCTTTTGTAATCGGGCACATGAAAAGATGACCCAGAACTTGGAATATTTGAAAAGCAATAAGCCATTTTTTGCTCATCGTCATCAAAAAGAGTACCGTAAAATGAAATGAAATTCTTATGCTACTGAAATACCAAAAACACATTGATTTAAATCAACTTTAGAGCTGTGGTTACGGGGAGCGACCCCGGGATCTCTTGCATTGAATTCCTTCATGCTGCACCTCTAGTGCAAATATGCTGGGTCCTCATGGCAAATATGAGACTCTGCAGCAAAAGAGGTCATACTTTGCACAGGAAAATAATTATCTTCAGGGATGTTAGTTGCTTTACTGCTTAGGGGATGCAGAATTGGAGTTTACGGCTCAACTACTCTTCATTGCTGCTTTTGGGGGGTCATTCATTGACCGCAGCTGACCTCCTATTCAGATGTTGCGAGTAGCTGCTACATTGTTGGTTTCTGCCTTGCTTAGAAAAACCTTACCAGTGGAGCGTCTGTAGTCATGGGACTGCAAGTTTTTCTTTTTTGGACAGGGGCTTCGATCGGTGCATAGCTATTGAAATTAGTTGTGGGTGCTAGAGTACTTCCTTCTGAAGCAGAGCCACATCATGTCAGGCTTGGAAATAAAAATAAAACAAAAACTGAAGGCTGGTTTACACGAAACTGCTTATGACCGAGTGGCTTAAAACCCCTTGCGACCTCTTAGAATGAGAGAACACACTGGCGCCATCTATTGGGTAGCTGAGGAACACTTGGGATTTCCGTATATTTCATATTTTTTTGCACATCTTTCTTTCTTCATTGGCTTTAAAAAATTTGTACAATGTTAAGCACAATTATTTTTCCTACATAGTATGTACTGAAGAAAGAGTAAGTATACAGGCGAGCTGGTTGATGTTACACTTTTTTTAAAAAACCGGAGATGACGGACGAAAAGGGTACAAACATAAAACATCTCCCTTGAGACGTTTTGTGTTTGTCCCTTTCTTCGTCCATTGTCTCAATTTATTTTTTTTTTTGCTTTTTTCTCCTAAAAAATGTATAGTATATGTACATTGCATCCCACAAATACTGCCAAACCTTCGCTCAAGTGAAACGCAGTTCCAAAGCCACCTCATAGATGTCGCTAGCGTTCCAGTGTGTTCCCTCGTCATAAGAGAGCACAAGAACTCTGTCGTAAACAGATGCAAGTGTGTGAATCGGCTTTAACGGGCATTTTGTTACCTCCGCAACTTTGAACAAAACAAGTCCTAAAGAGCAAAACTGTCTGCAGTGAGATTAAGGCAGCAAGCCTGCAAAGTGCACTGAAATGGTGGCATCAAGGTTGCCAAAATGCCGCATTAACCCATCCGGTCGCCCAACTAATACTGAATGATGTTGGTGGAATAAGAGTATAAATTTTAATAACTTTCGGCGATATGTTAGAGATAAATTTAGATCAATATTTATCTCCGAATTTGAAAAGTATAGCTTTCAGATTCGGCTTTATGAGCACACTTGCTGTACAAAGGTGGTGGGGGGAGGGGGTGGCAGAAGCTGCAAAGAAGCAACATTCATGAAGCGAATGCACCATGGGAGGTGATAACCTTGCAGTCTGTGCTGCACAACTTCTACCTCTAAGATGTTCGGTATTTTCTTGAAAACGTATGACAAACATGTAAGGTGCCTAATGCGTTTCGAACCTTTTTTGTAACATTCAAGCACAGACATTGTTTTAGTTTCTGCCATTACCTCCCATGATGCCAGCTTTTGGCATTGATTACAGTCACCGACCGATTATTCGGACTTTGCTGGGACCGAAAAAACGTCCGAATAATAGAGCAGTCCGAAAAATCAGCAGATTGAAAAACTTGCCTTTATTACTTCCAAGTGGGCTTAAAAAAGTTGTAAATAGTGCCTTGGTTCAGGTTACGCCTGCGTGCCATGTTTTAGGTTACGCCTCCGTTTCCGTTCGACAGCTTTCTGTTAGCTTGAGAATCGCTGCCTTCTTTTCTAGCGCTATGGTCGAGTAGGAGAAGAAAGATGGGGCCATGACGTCCAAGCCAGCGTTGTCCGAACGAGATCAGAGGCGCAAATCCACGAGCGGAAATTGGCGACTGGCGACGCGAAGGAACGAAAAACAAAGCAAGATGATGATGATGATGATGACGTGCAGCTAAATGGGAAAAAAAGGGCTAGCATAGCATCACCTAGCGGTACGACTCAGGAGTGCTCAAGTAGCGCTGCCAAACCAAGTCAATCCATTGGCAGCCAACATAGAATTCAAAATGGCCGCTTCTCGATGGTGTTTTCCGCTGATCGCTCGCGACAGTTTTGTCCGAATAGTCGAACTTTCGGACTTCAAACTGTCCGAAACATTGGTCGTGAATATACACTATTTCTATGGGGTAAGTCACGGTTCCGCCTTTAGGTCCGAAATATAGAACAAGTCCGAATTATTGGAGTCCGAAAAAACGGTTGGCGACTGTACTGGTTGGATTTCATGCCTGTGAACTGTTATTAGCATAGCTCACCAAGCATTGAACATAGCTTGAAGATTTCTGGATATGTTATAGAGGCTAGATGAACTAATATGTGTTACCCCCCCCTCTTTTTTTTTCCAGACCTGTATCGATGCTCTGATTAACAAGTTCAAGGAGAAGATTGTGTATGTGGGTGTGACTGGCATTATCATTTGCTTTATTGAGGTGAGTTTGGGTTCTCCCACCCATTTTGCAGTGTTGGGTAAAGTATATCTAAAAAGTGCTTGAAGTAAAGTACAAAGTAAACAAGAGGTTGTGTACTTCAAGTAGAGTGGTAAGTACACTAGGCTCAATGTACTTGAAATAAAGTGCTATAAATACAGTGTACTGTCAAAGTAATGTAGAAGTATGTTTTAATAGGGCTGGGCATTGATTAATAATTTTAACCTGATTATTCAATACCCTTTAATCGATAAGTGAGTAGATTAATCAGTTTCATTTAATCTCATGCATAATAGTCTTAAAGAAGTTAAAATTAAATTGTTTCCCTTTGCTGAATGTGGTATAAATAGAGCAATGTGTAGTTTCAGATTTTAAATAAGCCTTTATGTATAGTTCAGAACAAAAGGCACCCACACTCAAAATTAATACTTAGTCACAGAGGCAGAGAGGTTCGTTGATATTCTCCGGCAATAGCAAACTCTCCCGATTGATCAAAACAGCCTCTGCTGCGCTAAATGGGCACTCGCATTGCGTTGAAGTGGCCGGGGCACGTGTAACCTCCACTTGTTAAGAGTTACAAATCTCGCTCCACCTTCATACTTGGCCACGTCTGTGCAGTGATGCCAACTATTCTTTTATGCACAGCCCTACACTCACCCTTAATATTCCCTACATGTCCGTACATCAGACACGGAAAGTCCCCACACTTGTCCCTACGTGGAAACGAAGAAAAAGTATGCGAGGAATACGCCGCAGATCTCAAGCAGACGAATACAAAAAGCCCAAGAAAGGGTTGATTAGTAAAAACAGTAATATAATGCGTGAAAATAAGTTAGATGTGTGCATTTTTCGCATGACAAAAATTGCATGTGGCTCGAAAGGGATCACTTGCTTCTTGCAGCCATGCTTCCCAAAACCATTCTTTGCGTGGAGCTGTCGTCACGGCGTCTCAGCCTTAAACCACTTAAACTGCCTAAGCTTCTGTGGATTGTCAAACTAGAGTGACCTGCAGCAAACGGGCGTCTGGCCACATCCGCCACAGATGCTATAACACCTCCTCGGTCGCAATTGGGGACAGCCTGACACTTCTATCATGTCATCAAGCAGAAATTGAGGGACCACTTTTTGGATGCTGTAAGAACACCAGTTGGAGACCCGTTCCAGGCACCATAGTAAGACCAAGTAAATTTGGAACACCTGGCTGGTCTGGTACCCTGGTGCCAAGGATGACTCGAGGTGCATTGGGAATTGGCTAGCGGGCTAAGAGGACGAAGGGCGTTGTTGCCGCATAGTGATGCAGAACTTTTAAAAACTTCAGTGTCAGTAAACGTGGCGGTAAAAACGCACCCAGTCGTACTAACAAAAAGTCCCTACGCCACCATGGAAGCTTGACACGCCGTCCCTACGTCCCCACAAAGCGCTATAGAACACCAAAAGTCCCTACGTGTAGGAACAAATCCCTACGGTTGGCACCACTGCGTCTGCCATAGAGATCATACATACTAACTCTAGAGGAAAAGGTCCGCCATTTTCCCATACATTCTGGCTGCCGCATGCGGCGGATCATGCAGGCAGACCCTCGGGGTCCCAAACACGATTACATCATCAGAGCAGTTTTGTGAACTTCAACAATCCACGAACTTACCGGTGGAAAGATATTCGCGTTCCTTTCGAAGCTTTCTTTTTGCATAGCGCGCAGATGTACGGCCTCGCATTAACGCCAAACTAAACCATACACCCGGCTTCGCCGGTGCGGCGCGGGTAGGCGCGATTGAGGAATGCGAAACGGCGCAACCACCAGATTTCCGAGACTTCGACAGAAGGGAAGTTAATGCAGCGTAATGACTTTATTGCTTTTTATAAGCGTTAGAATAGCTCAGATTTTAGTTTACAACGTTAAATTATCACTGTTTATATTGCTGAGAGTTTTCACTCTTCGCGTTTACCATGGCAACGTTGCTTTCTTTCTCTCGTGTTTTGTCGCTCTCTTTTGCGATCGTTCACTCGGGACCCCGGGTGTCGGCGCACGGGATTTGCCACTCCTCCTCACCCACCTTTACCCCCCTGGCGTCTGCGTAGTGAAACGTCAGATTTTTACTTTTCTTTGTTTGTCAAAATGCAACTGATTAATCAGTAATCGCGATTAAGGCGTTAGTCGATTAATCAATAGGTTAATCGATCAAATGCCCAGCCCTACTTTTAAGCAATCTTTTATAATGCCCTTTTATTTCCCTATACAGTTTGGTCTTTTTAACTGGTAGGCATTACCAGTTGGTAATGCCTACAAACTGCAAAAGTATGCAAAAGCCTCCTCGAAGCACTCATTCTACTAAGCATTAGGGTGGTCACACATAGCACTTCGTGGCACTTGGTGTCACTGAAGACTTCAATCGCGCGATCAAGCGTATTTCTGCTTCCGAGTCGCAACAGATGCCAACATTTTCTTTGCAAACGGGCCATATATTCTCCACCGATACATGGTTAGCGTGTTGTTTGTTTGATAAGGCCTTAAAAAGGTTGAGTTTGTGCGTGGCGCAAAATGCTATCTTGCTCTCTGCTTCGAATACTTGCACAACAGCACCGCTGCTGCACTGTTAGAAGCAACGCCGCATATACTTGCCCCAAATGTCAATGCACTGTGGCAAGAAGAGAAAACCGCTGACCAAGTGCAATCGGTATACAGCGCTAGCACAAGGGACTGTTGTGCCTTATTATGGAACCTGCCTTAAAACGTTAACGTTTGCTGCACAATTCTTGCGATTTCATAACATATTCATTCCAATTCTTTATTTGTGCTCCACTCAAAGGCTAGAAGATCGGCTGGGTTAAAAGCAGGGAGTCGAACCAGTCATTATTCCGGTTCGGGTTCAATAGCTTTACATTTTGTTCTGGTTCGGTTCTGGTTCACTGATGCCTTTGAAATAACTGTTCTGTTACCGGTTCCACCAAGCCCAAGGCAGTTAAAACCGGTTCTTAAAAAAAAAGTCCACGTTTTTTCGGTCAAGAATAAAAGGCGAGTTCAACACAGCGTCATCCGCATTAAAAAAATATTAAAGGGACACTGACAGGGTATAAATGCTCACCAAGGTTTTAGTTTGTACATGATATAAGATAGCCCAACTACCCAGAAAACAATTCGCAGCTCGAAATTTGTTTTCTTTCCGCTTGAAAACCACCAATCCAGAACTGGCCTGTTTGAGTCGCGCTCACTCTCTTCTCTGTGACCATGGGCCTTTTTCTGTGGTTTAGACACAACCACCAAAGATAATCAATGTCGTGGATCATCGAGGAGGCACACACAATATTAAAAATAAAATAAAAATATGATACCCATTTTTCGTGGCTTCTAAAAAGCTGCAAATACGTTGATTGGGGAAAAAGAGTCACAGCCACGTGACTTCCGCCACCTCTCTCCTCTATATTTCTTCCTCCTCCCAAGTCCAGTTTCGGTTTCGAGCAGTTGCATTTTTTTTTTATTAAAAATATATGTGACTCTGTAGAAAAATATTGATTGGGTAGTCTTCTGATACCATAATAAATCGCCTGCCAAAAAATAAAAAATAAACTTTGGGGGGTGTCAGTGTCCCTTTAAGTCGCCGGAAGCCGTGCTGCGGAAATGAGAACAGCAAAAGAAATACTGTTCTATAAAACTTGTGTGGTTATATTGGGGAGGAGGACAGACCGTGACGCCCCAAGCGGTTAACTTAACAACTACACGGATGGGGACAACAAATACAATGACTCGGCGCTCGGCCGACATAACCGAACGCGGCGTCAGCGTTCGGCTGGAGTTCGTGTTCCCCGGTGAGGGGGAGGAGGGGCTCTTTTGTCTCCACTACGGCCTGCATGAACAATGCAGCATGCACGGTCCCAGCTCAGCACAAAAGCCGAAGTGGGTCAAGCTCGCATTCTTTGAAGATAGATCTGGCACTTAATCGTCGCTTCGTCGATTGTTATTTTTTATATTAAACTGTGCCCCGCGCTCTATTGTAGAAGATGACATGAACATGCCCACAAGGCCTGTCCGCATGTGCACAGGCCTTGTGTTGAGTAAACGCAGAGCGTGGGGAAAACAAACGGGTCAGAGTGCCCGTTATAGTTCGATATCCTGCCCAATAGGCACTTGTAAACAGTACCAAAGTACAGTACCCACATGAGGAGTCAAACAGCCAGCACGCACAGTGACACACCTGATGCTGGGACGTACTGTACTCAAGAACTACCCACAAAATACAAATTGGTCATTGCTTGTTTAGACATTAGGAGTTTGCCAGTATGGCGACATTGTTACCCATTGTAGATGAAGAATATAGCCAGTGCAGTACGACTGCAAGCCCGGGGCCTTTAACGGGCATCACGCATTACTGAGACACGACTGCACGCCGGAACGAGGCTCATCCAGATCAAAATAGCAAACTACCCACGCCGCATTCCCAAACGTCTTGCTCAAACAACCGAGTTGAAGAGGAGAAATACAGCGAAGGCCGGTGGAAAGTCTATTAAAACAAAGAAGGCATAAAAAGACAATGGGCGACTTGCTGTTTCTAGAAAACGCACAAAACAAGAATTGATCAAGTAGCGTCCAGGGTTCTGGGCGACTGGCGTCCCGGCGCCGCGCACTGTCATGCTCGCTGCGCCTTCGCCTCTTGGCGCTTCCAAATTTTGCCACCGCGGAACAAACCCGCCGACGGCCATCAACTTTCTTGTTCTTATTTTGATTATGTTCGCTTTCTTCTTCCTTGAGGAATATTGCTTGGCAGTAAAAACATAAAATGTACACACTTTCGCTTCTTGGCATAGTTAGATTTACTCCGTTTCACCTTACAATGTTCCATTATGGACGCTATGAGCTACTTGCCGACACCAATAGACCGATGTCACCAAGCGAAGTGCACGCGCATTCCGGAAGTGGTGCCGCCGCCATGCTACTTGTAGTCATCCCTTTCAGTCTTCCCGGCTACACGGGGCTGCGCGTACATCATCATAGTTTATCGTTTGGGACG